TATTAAGGATGAGGAATCGTCGTCACATTTTTCTCCACCGAAGGGTGTGTTGTAAGTGTTCTTTCTGTCAGCATCGCTCAGGTTTCTGTAATTATAGCACGGATCGGCTAAAAAGTTGAATTTCGTTTGATGAGTTGTTTTATATATTTCGTTATAAGAAAGCTTAAAAAGCTATTATATAAACTGCGGTGGTTTAAAACGATTTCCTGCCCTGAGAAGAGCCGGGAAATTCTTGTTAAACACGCGTTAAGTATTATGGTAATTTTTTACATGTGTTTAATATCACAATCAGCTGTGTCAAGTCAATCCAGGGATGCATGTCGAGATTTTCTCGAATTATGGCTGCCAAAAAAAAAAAGAAAGAAAAATTCGTATTTCTAACAGACAATGTCACTCAAAATTTCCAAGAAAGGGAAGTAAAACAAAATACGAAAAGAAAAACGTAAAGTCAGGTCTTTGACCTGGGTAATAGTATTTGTCGTGGCTGAGAACGAAAATCGACAACTGAAAGATTTGCCACCGGCCGATTTCGGCCGTTAACATGAAAACATTTCTTTGGTTGGTAAGAAAACGTCAATAACTGAGAATTTTGTGAAAAGAAAGCTACGCCCATTGTCTGTTTTTGTAACGGTTTAACGCTTTTTTTCATCTTGAGCTTTATCGCCGACGCGCTATACGACTTTTTGATTGTGCGGATTGTGAAACCTATAATTTCATTTTTTAAAAATTTGACTTTTCTTCCCAGGAAAGGCCTATTGTGTTTACATGGTAAACAAAATAATAGATGGTCACTTGCAGATATGGAAGTTCTCTTCTCGTGTTTATCTCGATACCAAGAGATTATAACAGTTTATATTCTCTTGCTCGATACCTTACTCGTTCGCTGCTCTCACTCACGAGATAACAAGTTGAACATTCGAAGAGAAATTCTATATCAAAGCGCACCCAAGTATCATTTTGTATTGATTGAATGAGTACAAAATAGCCGAGTTTGTCATACAGTCAATACAAAATCCCTTAAAAGTTATCATATTCAACGAATTTCAATGCGTGACTGTGGCGCGATCGCTCAGTGATTGCTTTTCATAAAGCCCTGCAATCATCGACTGATGACCACAAAGAAGGTTGTTGATGAATGTAAAGCCATCAAACTTTCGCAAAAATTTCCAAGGGCTAGAATTATTTGACTGTGAAAAAGTTTTCTGTGTCGTAGTAGAATTGTGCTGAAGTAAATGGTTTTTCTTCAACTGAGCAGATATGCCTGGAAAACTTTGTTGAGAGCCGATTACTGCTTAAGCAATGGAGAACCCTTTTTCTGTGTTTACATAATCTCACCCTTTTTCTGTGTTTACATCCTCTCACGAGAGGAGGTTGGGAGAATTTGAGAAAGTTATGCGAACCCGATACGCAGTCAAGGGTTTGCATAACTTTCAAGAAATTTCCTAGCCTCGAGTGTTTAAATGAGAAAATGTAAACACGGGAAAAAGTGCCCTTTATATTATAAGCAAAATTTTCCAATAACGTTACAGAGGAAGGTAAATGTTAAGAAAGATGTTTTTTCGTCTTGTCACGAGCGTGGGATAAAGAAAGATACTGATTCCTCATGAGGAATCGAACCTCAGACCTTCGGAATTGCGCTCCGATGCTCTACCACTGAGCCACAAGACTCTTCGGTGAGCGAGGTCTATTACGAAGTTCTTATAACACGCGTCCTGCATACTGCTAGGATCAGCAATGTCGATAGCGTAATGTTTTTGATAGAAATAGTAGAGATGGTTAGTTTTGAGCTCGGTGAAGAAGATTCCCCTTGGGAACTCAGAATTTTTCTTTATCCTACGCTCGTGACAAGACGAAAAAACATATTTCCTAATTCTTCATCGAGCTCAAAACTTAAATGGACCATGCAAACAGGTACAATGCTCTTTAGCTCTTGCACAAGCGCGGTGACCTCTATTTTTCATTGCATAATTTTTGTGTACAAATCTTCCCCTTTAACTTGGAGAAATTAAGAAAATTGTCGAAGGCAAAAAAAAAAAGAAGACATAGCTAAAAGCGTGCACAAAGCCCGTTACTTGATGATGAAAATTATTACCTTGAAAACAACGACGTGAGGAACGTTTTGAGTGATAATAATTACTAATATATATAAATAATTTCCACAAATTACATATCAAATTTTCCACACGCTCGAGACTTTGTACCTTTTAAGTTTTTTCTTTTAATTTTTACTTCGAAATCCCTTGATTCCAGCTACTAAAAAATGTACCTTGAAATGACGTGCGTGAAAAATTGCTAGTAGAGGCATAAATGAGGTAAGTGTTGCCCGTCATTTCTCTCAAACAAGCAAGGTGACCTGCCTTTCTCATTGCATTTTTCGAAACAGCCATTGGTAGGAAACATTTAAAGGCAGACTAAAAAAATTGTTAGATGTCTTTTTTTTTTTTTTCTGAGGAATTACCTTATTAGGTCAGAGTGAGAAAATCGTAACTGTGGTCAACATCGATTTTAACCAATCAGACTATTTTGTTTAATTGAGACATCATCAATATAATTACATTTGCAGAACATTTATGCATCATCAAGAATAAATTATTTTCTCTCCTTGTGGACAAAAACAATGCACATCAAGTCCAAAAATATGATATAAAAAATCAAATCTATCTTTCTTTATCCCCAATGTTTTGTCGAAGGACGTTTCCAAGCAAACTAAAGGTACTTAAAACTAACGTGATTTGTTACATGGCCAAACAAGAATAGCCATTCACTCAACATTATTTGCAGCGAGTTCAGCCAGTACCATCTCTAAAAAATATATAAGGCATGGATTAAAAGAGACTAACCTTTACAATTCAGACCATCCCCAATGTATTTAGGATTACAGGCGCAACTGTAGGAGCCCTGGGTATTACTGCAAGAGGCGTTCTTATCGCACATGTTCATTTGTGAGCACTCGTCAATGTCTGATGGGGATCAAGTGCACCACGTCACAACCCAGAGTTAGATGTTATGATGAAAAATGTTTTGGCGAATCAAGATATAATGAATACCTTTCCAAAATACTGCAAATCTAGTCTCAAAGGATGTGGGACAAAACAAAACAAAACAATCCACAATTTTTAATGAGGGATGAATTTTAGGATAAATGTTTGATTACTTGATAATTTGAGCTAAAAAGACGTTTCAGATTACCTCCCACTTTGAGTAGCTGGGATTGTACGTATAGAAAGAGCAGCAATGGAGGTTGCCTCTCTTCCGTCATAAAGGGCTTTTCTGGACATTGAAAGGAAGTTATCAAAATCACTTGAGCAAGTTTGTCCATCTCCAGTGTATCCAGTGTGGCATGTACATACATGTGATCCAATTGTGTTGGTACAGTTAGCATTCACATGACAAGAAAGATTTTCTTGCCCATTCGTCAATATCTGAGAAATCACAGGCTTTCAATCACGATTCTTGGAGCATGATACATGTATAAACCTCCTTATTTTGAACATTGAGAGCATTTCATCCTCTTGCTTTCAATTGGGATTAAAGATTTTCATTTTCTACCATTGGTCAAAAATATTAAGGCAAGGGTAACTACTTTATCAAAATAAACAAAAAAACAAAGAAGGAACGTACAAATTAAACAAACAATTAAAAATACAAACACAAACAAACAAGTAAGGTCATAACGAGGCAATTACAATCTAAAGGCCTTTACCTGTGCAGTTCCGTCCATCTCCGTTAAATCCAAATAAACAGGTGCACACAAAGGATCCATTTGTGTTTTGACAAGTAGCGTTCAGGTGACAATCGTGAGTATTTTTTTGGCATTCATCAATATCTAAAAAAATGGGAAAGAAAAGAAAAATTATACAACGTTAGTAGTTACACGAGTGAGATATACATTCTTTTTTTAAACTTTTATGAGGTGAAAAAGGATTAAGTTATTTATCATTGTGACAAATTAATTATTAATTTAGACTAAACAAAAACTTCCACTGCAGCGGAATCTCTCTATAAACACTATTCTAAACTGTAGTCGGATATCAGTCGTCAAAGATCAGCCTTGGTAGCCTTCCTTGGTGGCCTCTTTTTTTCGCGGAATGTGAAACTTCTAATATCATTATCATTCTTCTTTCGGAAAAGAAAAAGTCAACTGAGAATTTTAAGAAAAGAAAGTTACACCCAATTTCGATGCGCTTTACGACTTTTTTCGCGGATTCTGAAACCTAAAAAGTCGCCTTATATTCTCAGTAAAGGCCTATTGTGTTCGTATAGCTAATCACATCACCGCTTTTAGGCTTGGCTAAATCTATATATTATTCTCTTACTCGATACCTCACTAGTTTGCTGCTCTCACTCATGAGGTAGCCAGTTGAACACTCGAAGAGAAATTCCAAGTCAGCGGGAACCCGGGTATTATTCACTATATATTAAATGAGGACAAAATGACCGAATTTCTTAGTAATAAATTGTCTAATTATCTTGCAACGCGGCTGAATGGTGCAGCACTGTAGTCGAAGGTGTCATGCAGGACTGTTCTAATTATTGTAGCGAAGAGATTAAATTCACCTGTGCAGTTTTGTCCATTTCCAGTATATCCAGCGTGACATTGACATACATGTGATCCAAGGGTGTTCGTGCATGTAGCATTCACGTGACAAGAGTGACTTCCTTTACACTCGTCAATATCTGTAAAATCATAACCATTAAAAAAATTAATTGAGAAAAATTTGCCGCGCATAAGCTTGGGAACCTTAGTCTTTCTGTCTTGTGGTTCTAGAGAGAAGCCCTTTATGTTACCACTCACCAGACTTTTTCTCGGTTCCCCCAATTTCAACTACGTTGTTCTGTCCTGTAAGCCCTTCCATCAAGTCTCCCTTTGCCAGTTGAGATTTTTGAATGTTTATTGAATACAAATGTGTCATTATCACCATTTTCTTTAGGCCTACATTCATCTCTTTTTTATACAAGGATTGATTGTGTTGGTAAAATATGTACCTGTATGTAAATATGTATCAAGTACCTGTGCAGTCCCGTCCAAATTATTCCATTTCTGAAGTTTAAGGCTGCGTTTCTCAAAATGCGGCATTTTTGCCTTTGAGAAGAGATAACTCAAGAGGGATTTGAGCTATTGACCTGAAATTTTCAGGTTAGCTGGGTCTCACTGAGTTAGTTGTGATGAATGAAGGAATTTGTCATAAGTGTTTAGAAAAAAGGTTATTTTAAGAAATGCTTCCTAATTTTGATTGCGCAACTTTAGATGGGTGTTGAGGCTTCACATTTTGAAATTTTGCAAAGTCCTTCATTCATCCCAGTAAGCAATCTGTTTACTTGAGAAAAATAGTAAAAATACATGTTTCATGTGAAACTATATGTAAAAATCCTTTCTCAAGTAGGTCCAGGTCAGCCACAGCATGTGCTATTTAAGGGGCTTGGTATCAGGTTACAAAAAAAATACCGCATTCAAATACACATTTTCATAATCTTCAGGCCGATAGCTTTCCAATGATGTATAGTTTGCTATGGTTTTGATGAAAACCATAGCTGTTACAAGTGATGCAAAAATGTCACTTTTTCAGGTGAAACCCCGCCTTAAGTTACCTCAGCAATAGGACATCAAAATCAAAATAAAAGATAATACGTAAAGGAACTCTGCAAGCACATGGAGATTTAAAAAAATCTGAAATTGAAAGTAAAATTATTCTGCTGTACTGATTGCGCTGTTGTTGAAGGTTGAAAAGTTATAAAAAAAGTGTGGCTGTACAAAGAGATTTTCCTTCTATCTATACTATTTAAAAAAGTGAGGAAGAGAAGGGTGGGGTGGGGGGGGGGGTGGTTATCCCAGCCTGGCTGCATATTCGAGAAAAATTTTCCGGGTAATGATTAAATAATAAATAACATATTCGATGGTTTATCATACAATACGAGAAGAAATCTTGCTCACTGCTCTTAATGATCCTCTTTCCTTTCGAGCTCGGAAAAATACCAAGGTACTCGTATAATATCTGCGCGTATTATATTTTCAATCTTCGAAAAATGTAAATGCATGCATATTATGAAACCCGTAACTTAATAGAAATACGAGGTCGGGGCGTGAAAATCATTAAGTTGCTTCTTGATCATAACCTCAGTTACGAAGACAATACTTATTATCAAAAGCTGCTTTGCTCGACATGAAGTATCGCTTTTCTAATCTACGCTGGCAAGACTGTCCATTTATAATGTATTCTTCCTTACAGATGCAATTATATGAACCATTTGTGTTGGTACAGTTAACATTAGCATCACAAACATGACTATCATCGTTGCATTCATCAATATCTGTGAACACAATAGATTTGCAAAGGGTAACTGAATAGAGAAAAAAATCTTAGCCAGTTTGTCGGATAACAAGGCAATTATTTCTGGTGAACGGTTATTCTGCTTTTTTCTAAGTCTAATCTAATTTACCTTGGCATGACTCTCCTGTTCCAGTGTATCCTTCCTTACAGGTGCAGCTATGGGAACCATTAGTGTTAGTACAATTCGCATTCACGTCACAATCATGGCTTCCATTGCTGCATTCATCGATATCTAGAGGCATAAGTGATGTATAAGAGGTAACGCATTAACAATATGACAGTGGTGCGTGAAAACAGGCCTCTAAAATGAGGGCTAATTTCCATGGGCGATAGTTTATGTGCAAAGCTGCTTGTCTTAATTAGTGTAGGCTACTCTTATTCACCTTGACATGACTGTCCATCTCCAGTGTATCCTTCCTTGCAAGTACAAATATGAGAACCATTTGTGTTGCTACAGTTCGAATTAACATGGCAAACATGGTTGCCATTGCTACACTCATTGACATCTGTAAACAAAAATGAATTGCCAAACGTTACTTGACAGAGAGAAAAACATCAGGTTTCTAAGTTTTGATGGAAAGAGTTTTTTTTAAACTTTTTTTATAGCCAATTTGTTGGATAACAAGGCAATTATTAGTGATGAACAGTTGTTCTGCATTTTTCTGAGTCGAGTCTAATTTTTTAATTTTCTAATTTTACCTTGGCATGACTCTCCTTTTCCAGTGTATCCTTCCTTACAGGTGCAGCTATGGGAGCCATTAGTGTTGGTACAATTCGCATTTACGTCACAATCATGGCTTCCATTGCTGCATTCATCGATATCTAGAAGCATAAGTGATGTATAAAAGGTAACGCAATAATAATATGACAGTCATGCGTGAAAACAGGCCTCTAAAATGTGGGCTAATTTCCATGGGCGATAGTTTATGCGCAAAAAAAGGTGTACTTTAATTAGTGTAGGCAAGTCTTATTCACCTTGACATGACTGTCCATCTCCAGTGTATCCTTCCTTGCAAGTACAAATGTGAGAACCATCTGTGTTGTTACAATTCGAATTAACATCGCAAACATGGTTGCCATCGCGAAAACGAAATGCCAAAACGCTACCAGACAGACAGAGAGCAAAACATCAGATTTCTAAGTTTTAATGGAAAGATTTTTTTTTATTGTGGGAAACTTTATTCTGCAATTTGCTAGGTCAAATGCAATGCTTATACCTTGGCATGAATGCCCGTCTCCGGTGTATCCTTCCTTACAGGCGCAGATATAAGAGTCTTCAGTGTTACTACAGTTCGCATTTATGTCACACACATAGATTCCAGTGCTGCACTCGTCGATGCCTGAGGACACAAGTAAATGTAGAAAAAGGTAGCTTAACAGTACAACACAAGAGATGAATTTTTTTTATGAAAACATTCATTTTAACTTTAACCCTGGGAGGAAATATGACATCGTTTTGGCCTGATTGTTGTCCGAAGAATTTATAATTCAGTGCAATCTAGAGTTAAAGAAAACAAAGTATCAGAAAAGTAAATTAATCGACTTAACTTGCCATTTGTCATCGTGACACCCTACGATTGAAAGACGCCATTAAAGTGAAATTAGAACTGCTATTTCTGCCTTCTACATCAAAATAGCATGGACTCAAGAACCGAAATTCGTGTGCAAAACTTACAAGAACTCAGCTCGTAGATTTAGTTCTTAATCTTTGACCACCATACACAACGCGTACTCTTATATGTAACGTCTTCAAAATGTCACGCATGTAGAACACTTTTGTCATACTTTTGCTTCATTTCACTTCACTGAACAAACTTATTTGCCTACTTGTATAAACTCCTGCTGTTGTCAAATAGGACGCATAGGAGAATGAGGCAAGTTTTTAGCATCTCATTTCATGCAGTGCTGTTTATTATTTAAGAAAAAGTTTTTTAAAAAGTTAATCCGGATCGCAAATGATCCCAAAATTGAACTTTACATGACTTCTTTAAAAATGCCTGGAATGACGTAGATTTTTTCCCAGGCTCCATAAAAGGACTAATTTATTACTAATCTAAAGCTAACTGATGAAACTAGGTATTAAGAAAACAACTGGAACAATGGTTATCTGCTACTCATTGGCCATTTTGTAACTTTTGGTTGTATTCGGGAGCCTACTTCACTTTTGTAGGAACGCACGCTTGGGTAACCACTGGGTAATTCAAACAGGCAGATAACACTGTAAAACTGAAATTTTACCGCTGGAATGCTCTTAAGTAGCCTCGCAGCTACTTATGTGCTCGTGCATGTTCTTTCAACGGATCGCTTGCCTCTTTGATTTCCAAAGCACATTTAAAACTTATCGCTCTTACCCTAACATTGATGAGAGGACAAAAACGCCAGCTTTATGACTTTTTTGTAGAATTGGTATTTTTAAATTTACGAAGCTTTTGATATCGAATTTGAAAAATAAATCTGGCGGGGTTTGGACAACGCGAACGAAAGTGCTCCTACATGTTTCCTTCTTTAATGCTTACCATTTACATGATCAAACTGAATACTTTATCGTCTTGTCCATATATCTATTGATTAATTTTGTCCGCTAGCTTTTAGCTTTATGTGAAAATAAGATGATTACTTTCTATTACTGAGGACATCGACAATGACACATGGATGTGCTGAAATTTCGACCAACTTCTCTCTTTTGTTCAAATATGTTGTTTTTTATTGTTGACTTCTGAATAAATAGCAAAACTTGAGTGACATCTGATACTTACTTTTCATGTTATCATCACTAAGGTATTCTGAAACGTAGTTTCCAATGAACACTGCCGCGATGATTGCAGAAATTGCCACTGCAATAGCAACAAGAATGACCATAACGCTTCGGCGGGATCTAGAAGAACGATTGGCAGCTGTCAGTAGATCTCTGCTTCCCGTAATGGAGAGTTGTTCTCCAAGATTTGCAGGTTTTGGATGGATATGATCCAAAGAGATAGTCTCATTTTCTGACGACGCCATCTCAGATGAGATCTCTAGGCGTGAATGCAGGATTTACTTCACTCTCAAGCAGATGATTCCCTTCACTCGAAGTTTTAGCTTATAATCATGAAAGGTTAACACAGCATCTTTCTTAATTGTAAAAGTCTGTTCGTCGGCGTGGCTTTCAGTTTCGAGTTTCAGTTTCGTAACTGTTAATGATGCAGTCATGCATGATATTTTATGCATAAACGTGACCTTGAGTCTTGATTGTTTGAGCCACATGTAGCTTTCAGGCACTTTCCAGTACGTTAGGAACTCGGTTTCTTTTCCTTGAACAAAGAAAATAACTGATGAGCAGGTTTTCTTGCCTTTACCTTTTTTTTCTCGCTTTCTTTCATTTTCGTCTACCCTCTTTCTTTCTTCCTTTTTTCCTTTTTTCCCTTTCTTTCTTTTAGTACCCACTTCTCAAATCTTCAAAACCTCGAAACGTTGACAGAACTCTGCACTCGTCTGATGTCGCTGTTACCGCGGATATATCTTAAATTCCTAATTTTTTGTATAATAGGGCCCTAGATAATTAACTCCAGCCCCGACTCCCTCCCCAAAACGTTAAAAACAACAATGAAACGAGAACAAAAATTGGTAGCATCGATAAACACTTGTCTTTTGTGAAGACACAAGATTTCTGGAAAACATTTTCGTGTGTTTTGTTTCTCCTGAACTACATTATTTTAAGGAAGACAGAGCAAAAGCCGTTAATAAAAGCTATCCGCTGATTTTTTCAAGTTCCTCTTCTACTTCATGATCGATAAGTCATGAAAAAAATATTTATTTTCCTCTATAAACCTTTTTTCGCTTTCTTCATTATACAGGTGCTTGAAAATTCAAAGTTTCATATTCGAGTTTACATGATTGTCTTTGGTTATTTAGACCGATGATCATAGAAAGAGGAAATTTATCCTAATTTGCATTAGGACACGCCATGGTTGTCGGTTTTTGAGTTAGTCTTTGCTAGTTGCTGTTACCTTAACTTTTTTTGTATCAGCAAAAGAGAATAAAGGAGAAATAAGGTTGCTCTCATCCGTGAATCGAAGGATAAAACTTTCTTCGCCGTCTGCGACTCACCTTTTCTATAATTCAATAATGCATTCTAGGCTACTATCATGAAAAATGAGACAAATTCCGTGCCTGCTTCGAGGTAACGGTTTTCTGTTTCTACCCCGCATGCATGGCATAAGTTTAAGTTGATAACCAGCCCTCATCAGTGGATTCAACTTCCAAAATCGACCTGTTTTTTTGTGAACGCAACCGTTTTATGATAATAAATTAAAGAAAAAAGCTTACAGCTGTCAGTTCTATGTGGAAATTAAAGCAAATGACGCAAATGGATGTTAACCGCTTCGCTCGATGGAGAGAATTGGGTCTCTTAAGAATAATTATTTATCTTTACATGTTAACATACCTATCAGACACCGAAATCAGTCCTTAGAACAATATTATAAAAATTTGGCGTGTGGATATCTCCCTCCACCAGGTGTTCTTTAACTATTCAAAACTCCCTTTATTCTCTTGGAATCTGACGACCGCCTTTTTGCATATCGTGTCTATAACAGACGCATCCTGTAAACATATCTAAGAGGGCTATGACAACCTGTTTCCTTGTTTTTCGATATTGTCTGTAGTCAAAAATTGCGTCTGTGAATGGTGTTCTTTTTGGATTCTTTACCTTCCAATTCTTGAGAGGGATTATGAAATAAAGTGGGGCATTCCTAATCTCAGCCACGTTTCGTTAAAATAATGATAAGTTTAACTAATATCAGAAGAAAACTTCGAATCATTATTTTCCGATATTATTTATCAATTCTATGATGCACAACGGTCGTGGTGGTGGTCGTTTATCAGAAATAACTTAAATTCCTTTTCCCCGACAAGTTCAAGCTTGATCGATGATTGTGCGAGATTCTCCAAATTTTTTTTTGCTTTGTTTTCCTGACCCTGAGTTTAGTTATGAACATATTTACTTTTATATCTAAGTAAGAAAATGTTTGAGTTTCATGATCAAGCTTTAGGTAATTTCTTACGTTAGTGATGCTTGATTTACATGTCCTCACATGTTCTCGAAGTTCCAAGATCTTTAACACACTGACAGTTAGGCCTTCTTTGGTATGTACATTATTCTAATTGCGGATAAGCTTCAAGGTTAACAAGGATGTTTATGGGGATAATGGGGAATTTAATAATTTATTAGGTCTAATTACCACTATTCCCACTCTAACCATTATTGTCTTCCAGATGTACCCTGGCCTTTAATCATGAAGCACAATAGATGGGCGCGCGTAGATAATTTATCTTCTCGTTCACTGCACTCACTCGTGAGTGTTAAACACGAAACAGGAAATTCCATATCTACGGGGAACCATCTATTTTTTTGTTTATTATATAAACACCATATGCATTTACTGACAAAAGTAAATTCAACAAACAACCTTGGATTGAGAAAAGTAAACTTACTTTGCACCAAATCATCCATCTTAAAAAAGAAAATAAAAAAAAAGGAGTTTATCGAAGATTATTTTCTAAATAATTTTCTAAAACTGTTTTTGCATAAGGCCTTTTATGAACGAACAAACTACTTCGATCACTTCCCTCTGAGTAGCATCTACATCTGGATGTGTAAATAATTATAACGTCCATTTAAAAACTGCAGGTACTTGACGCGAATGACAAAGGATTCGCGGAAGGAATGTAATTTTTTTTCAAACAAATGTTAAGGGAAGTAAACTGATCATTAAATTTCATAGTGGAGAAGTTATAAAAAAAATTGCAATTGCTACACTAAATGTATGTTCCCGAGGGAAGCAGTTAGTTTTGTTTTCCCTCGAGTCGAGGTAATTTATGCTAATACGCAATGAGACGTACCATTGTTTACTGACATCACGCAGCAGATTAAAAATGTTTTTACTGATAAATTCAGTATAAACGTGATAAATCGACCCTTCCCGGAAGATAAGTAAATTTAAAAGTTGAACATTATACAACTCAGATGAAGAGTAGTCAAGTTATCATTTCTATTTTTAATTGTTTACAGATGCCACCTGTTATGTACACCCAGCCTTTGTGAGTATAAATGAGGTTCCTTCCAAAAATAACACAGTAAAAACTATTTCTTCCTCTGTAAAAATTTTGATCTTAGCATTTAAATTCGACGAGAAAGATTAAGAAGGATCTTTCTAAATCAAAGTTATTATTGATAAGTGGCAAACGAGCGAACGTTGCAACGCCATAAATTTTCAAACTAGAGAAACTTTACAAGTTGTACGCAACATTTATGCAAATATATTAAAGTTCACACGGCAACCAGGTGGACAATCAGACATAGTTTGAAGCTACACTGGTTTGCAGATTTAATGAATGTAACCGAAGAAGTTACAATTCATAGACCCAACGTTTCGACACTCTTGTCTAGTGCCTTCATCAGGGGTGATCTAAACGCTGCAACAAGAGGTCCTTTTATATGATCACTAATTAGCGGCCTTTTTTCTGACGAAGTGTAAATAGGCGTCAGGAAGCAGACCGCCATCGTCACGATTTAAAGGAGCGTCCGCCCACCGCCCACGCTCATTTTATAATGAGTAGGATGCGCTTAAAAATCTTCGTTAGATACCCTTTAATTTTACAAAAATGAGTGTCAGTCATGGGTGGAGGTTGAACGTGGCTGTTTACCTTACTTAATTTATTTGTAACTTTTATTCGTTCTGTATCAGCGAAGAGAATGAAAGTGATATATGAAATAAGATTGCACTCATAAATGAATAAATCAATTCAAGATTACGGTCTTCTATTTCTACCCCGCACGTGTGCTAAAAGTTTTAAGTCGATCACCAGCTCCCAGCAGTGGACTGAGCAGCCCAAACCGACCTATTGTTATAAAGGAAAGCTTATCATGAAAATACATCAAACAAAGCTCTCAGCAGCTGTCAGTTCTATGTGGAAATTAGCGCAAATGACACAAATAGTTGCTTTCTGCTGTGCTCAATAAAAAGGAATAAGGTCTCTTAGGGAATATCATTCCATATCTTAGGATAACAGAAACTTAAACCTTCAAGTTCTATTGGACTTTTTGATCCAAATACTTTCAAAATGTGAAAGGTGAAAAAATGCATCCCGCGCAAAAAAGGTAAATACATCGCAAGATTTATGGCGTCTGAATGTTCGACGCATAATTATTTTATTACTAACTTTGGTAATAATAAACATGAAATCCTGTTCAATTATTCAGAAATTGGTCAGTTTCTGGAGTTACATTAATAACTGCGATCGACATTTTTCGTGGAAAATGTGCTCGAAGCCCTTAAAAAAACATTCAAACCGAAAAAAGGCAGTTTTAAATTTATGTGGCGTAATGATCTCCAATATTGTAGACGGGCTATCGAAACTGCTCTGTGATCCGCTACCATATCTGAAAACAAAGAAAACGATTTGATCACAACATATGCGAAGCGGGGAACGACAACCGTGCACTATCTGAAATTGATATGTGATAGACGTTGTACTACAATGTCATTCGTTTATTTTTTAAATGTTTGAGTTATTAATCTGGATAATAAAGAATATTAAATGACGGAAAGTGAATGAAAAATCGTGCACCGCCCGACCCATTATTTTCGTTGAGGACAGCGTGGATTCAAGACCTTTCGTCCTTCAGTTCGCCAAAAAGTTTTTGTCGAATTATTACTCTTTAAGTTTTAAAGAAAGAAATGTGTTGGTGTTAATTTTGTGTTGCTATTTATATTACTATTTACCATAATTCAGTCCATCCTCATCGTGGCCAGAGGCCCTCAATGCTGTTTGCCCTTTGCCTTCTTCTCAGCTCTTCCCAGCTGACTCCTCTCTCCCCCATCTCTTTTTTGAATTTCAAGGTTTAAAATTAATAGCAGATTTTATTACGACAATGTCCTTTTATTAACTATTTGAACGACCATAATTCAGTTTTTTCAATGCTGTTTGCCCTTTGCCTTCTTTCACACGTGACAACTTAC